CCCCCAGAGCCGGAAAGTTGGTCAAACCCGGTCATTTAGAGGAAGTAAAAGTCGTAACAAGGTTTCCGTAGGTGAACCTGCGGAAGGATCATTACCGAGTGCGGGTCCTTTGGGCCCAACCTCTGGGCAATGCACCAGGGCAGGATACTCGGGTCATTATCGCCAGGATGTCAACAATACAGAGACGGACCGGTGACGTATAATTTGAGAATTCCTGTCTGTTCCATTCTTTCAGGGCAATATCACTGATGGTTAAGCGATCACATGGTTTGATCTGCGCATTGAAACTGTGATCCTAGTAGCAGGTTATTGTGTGGATATTAGTGAACTGTTATGTAGGATCCGGAAGCCTGGGTCAATCATTAGGTATGGAGCTTCCCTTGCTGGACTTTTCCCAGTGTTGATATCCACACGCATTACGTTCTTGGGTGACCCCATGCTCTTTTCAAGACATTGGCGGTGGGCGAGACAACTTGAAGACCCTTCGCGACACTGGGTCACCTGTGGACCCTATGCTTCGCTGGATCTAACCAAAGGCTGCGAGTAGTCGTGTGGCCATCCTGCAGTATTTCCCAGAGGGTTTTACCCAGTCCACTCGCAATTCCTTTGCCATCTGTCGAGCAGTCCCCATGATCCGTTGTATGTAGTTTCATCCGTTGTACGCCTACTGCTCGCGGCTATGGTTTCCGTGATGGCGTAGGTAGAGTGGCCTTTGGGTGTCTTCGGAACTGGGTTATGGCGATCGAGTAGGGAAGAGGGCTACGTATCCAGCTATTTTGCTCGTCGGGGGACCAAGGCAACATGGGCCTGGAACGCAGTTGCGCTGTGTACATCAGCTGTGCCTTATGTCTCTGCTTGCCCCTGGAGGGTATGCGGCCCTGTTGCCAGTCTCTCGACGTGACTGCTGCTCGTAGGGCAGTGAGCCCACTTCGGGTTAGCTAAGAGAAGAGTGCAGCCAGCCTATGGCTTATTCCGAGCCATGACACCAGGAAGTAGCATCGACGATGGATTTGCATTAAGTTCGCGTAAGAGTGGAGGAGAGAGAGCTTTCTTGGGCCTCATATCTATCCTACCGTTATCTTGCTACCACGCGTGGTGCTGGTCTCTGATGGGTTCAAAGCCTGTAGGGTCATGGGCCAGTTGTCTTTGGTTTGAGCACCTTGTATTCAACCATTCTCTTGGGGATGCCAGCGACACGGCCATGTGCGTAGCAGTGTGTAGTTATCCACAGTTAAGCATTTGCAGCTACTGCCGTGCTGCTGCTCGTTATGTATAGCATTGGAGCTATGTCCGTCTGAGTATTCATATTGTCTGGAGAATATCCATGCAGGGCATGGATCTTTTTGCTCCGTGGAATAACACACAGCGGTATATCCATCGCGTAATGACCATAGTATGAAACTCAACGCGACAGAGCGTGTCGTGACGCGCTGCTGTCCCCGTGACCGTGGTTCCTGTTCAGGTAAGCGGGTGTTGTTGGCCTGGGGCAGCAGCTGGATGGATGGTTGGATACCAGTGACATGAAAGTGGCCGATCACGAGCAACAACGCGCGTTTTGTTTCTGATCTGCTATCTGGGCGGGTTATTAATAGGCTGTAGAATAATATCCTTATAATTAAATGTCATAACAATGCATGATGGTTGCAACATCAACGATCTCAAATGGCCATCAACCGGAGTTTAGAGTATGAAGAGCTGCGGGTTTAAGTTGAACCCCCCTGTCGGTCGGGTCGGGGCGGGTTGGTCCCCGGGCTCGGGGTGTTTCGGTGTTTTTCGGGGGTTCAACCCCGGAGCTGGGTTCAACTTGGGAGGGAGCTCGATATACTGTGTGTATGTACTAGATCAGAGGGTTTGATCAAGGTGCTGGACTTGATACTGTGATTTTGCTTAAAATATACTAAGATCACCTTATATTTACTACTCGAACACGTCTATTGGTGCTAGTTTTCCTACGAACGTATCACTAAATGCCGTAGATGGTCCTGTTTTGCTGGTATCATGCCGCCAATGTCGATTGTCGTTGATTGATCTTGTGTGATGCTAGTGTGATCCTGTTATTGATCCGGTTGGTATTACATAGCTTTGTCATCTATTTTGTATGGCTCGTCATGTAGTTTGTGGTGTTGGCTTGACTACTATACGTGGTGTTGATGGATTGATATTGGTGAAATGATGTGTTGGTTATATATATAATGGTAGGGTCTGAGCTCTATGTATCCGAGATATGATAACCCTATAGATCACAGCTACCGAGCAACAATACCACAACTACATCATCTATAGCAGATAAAAAAGCATACAAACAAAATGTAAGAGCACCTGTAAGACCTAGATACACTAAAAACGCCAGTTATTGCCATCAAATCGCTGGTCTCGTCGTGGTGATGACCATGAAGACGAGAATGATGATACAATGCCTCAGGCATCAAAAAACAGCGGAACCACCGGAGAACGCGTAGCGCGTCAACCACCATACACAACAAGCGAATTGCACAAGCAAAAAGGGGATTGATTTCATATACTGTAGTAGACTATGGTATAACAACTAAGATGCACTCTACTAATTGACATTCTCGTAAAAATAATTATTTATGAACAAACCAAACGCTCGACTATGAGACTACTGTATACGAACAGCACGCAAGCCGCACCATAAACAAAATGCGACACCCATACTGCGACAGAAAAGACACTGCGAAGCTACAAACATACAATGGAAAGATGTGATCATTTTCGACCGTTTGTATTCATATCGGATCGCGTCAAGGTCGCACGATCCTCTTTAGCCTATGGCACCAGCCGAAGCGTAAAAGGCCGCTATGATACAGAAATTCAACCACGACCACCAGCAGACCAGTAGTGGACGCGTGTAATAGTAAATAAAATACGACAAAGCAAACCCAGACCCATGATACTTGTAATAAAAAGATCAAGAACACCCCAACGTCCCAGTCATACCATGAACCAACCCGAAAAAGCAACTCGTCGCGTCACCGCTGCGGAAGGACAACTGACGCGCCGACCGCGCAGGATGGCTAAAAAGAAACAAGCAGGAAAATAGAAAAGGCGTTTAACCACCGAAACCGTAGAGGGTACCTAAAGGAATGTATGTTAGACGCGTTGGACATAACCAAGCCAGAACAGATAGTACTTACGGCCCTGTCTCTTAAGAGCGTAGACGACGTCAAGGGAGGTGACGGTCTTGCGCTTGGCGTGCTCAGTGTAGGTGACGGCGTCACGGATGACACCCTCAAGGAAGGTCTTGAGGACACCACGGGTCTCCTCGTAGATCATGGCAGAGATACGCTTGACACCACCACGACGAGCGAGACGACGGATAGCGGGCTTGGTGATACCCTGGATGTTGTCACGCAAGATCTTGCGGTGACGCTTGGCGCCACCCTTGCCGAGACCCTTTCCACCCTTTCCACCTGTAGAGACGCGTCAAGTCAGTCACTGCCGGTCGTGTAGACAAGCATGGACGATCTATCGAGATAGATAGACCATGATGGGAAGTGATGAACTTACGGCCAGTCATTGTGAAGGTTGTCTAAAAAGTAAACGGAAATAAAGTTGAATTAGAGTTGAGGGTGAAGATGGTGGAGATAGTTAAGCGTTTTAGAGTGAGATGGATGTAAAAGGAAGAGGGCAGAGAGCATCCATGGGACGGGAGATATTTGTATAGCAGAAGGCGCGCCGCGGGGAGGGCGTTGGAATCACACGCTAGAGGGCGGATCGACCAATCAGAGTTCAGGATCCCGGCCAGCGGACTGATCTGGCGGCAACGTGACCGGGCAGGGATGATTCCGCTGGGATGAGACTGATTCCCACAGGAATGCTCCCAACCACCTAGATCAGCAGTCAGAGAGTGTCAGGGACATTCCTGTCGATGGCCATGAGCCTCTCCAACAGGTTGATAGGATCACATTCCGGGCCTGAGGTTGGGATCAAGGTGAGGCAGGGGCAGCTTCTAGATCCGTGATCCTGGCTTCCTATTGGCTGGCGGACACTAGGGCGCTCGCTTAGCGCTCCGAGCAGGCAGAACGGGGACTGACCGCCTTTGGGCACTTTTGATTTTCCCAGCGAAAAGTGAGTCCCGAAATCACGGCTTATGGTGTGCTGCTTTCCGAACACTTTTTCGATCAAAGGAACGGCACGCTAAGGCCCCCTCCCTTTGCTGGCAAACCCAGATCACCACCCACCCTTTCGCTTACTACAAATACCTCTCCCCACCCACCTCCTCCATCCTTCTTCCATCTCCTCATCCCGTCCACCCTTATCTATCAACCTTCATCAATTTTCCATCCTCAACGTCATCTTTCCATCTCTAAAACAACTAAATCCATCAAACTTAATCCACTAAGATGGCCCGCACTAAGCAGACTGCCCGTAAGTGCAACCTCACTGTCCTTTCTCTTCGTGTCGCTTGACCGCGTCATGGTCGCGACACCCGTGTCTCACTTGAGGAACATCACCACTAACTATCATCTCAATATAGGTAAGTCCACTGGTGGCAAGGCTCCCCGTAAGCAGCTCGCCTCCAAGGCTGCCCGTAAGGCCGCTCCCTCCACCGGAGGTGTCAAGAAGCCTCACCGCTACAAGCCCGGTATGTATACACTCATCACCCCAAAGTGGCAAAGTGCCTGGTCGAACAGTCAACTAACAGTCTACCAAAGGTACCGTCGCTCTGCGTGAAATCCGTCGTTACCAGAAGAGCACTGAGCTCCTGATCCGCAAGCTGCCCTTCCAGCGTCTTGTCCGTGAAATTGCTCAGGACTTCAAGTCGGACCTCCGCTTCCAGTCTTCCGCCATCGGTGCTCTTCAGGAGTCCGTCGAGGCCTACCTCGTCTCCCTCTTCGAGGACACCAACCTGTGCGCCATCCACGCCAAGCGTGTCACCATCCAGTCCAAGGACATCCAGCTTGCCCGCCGTCTCCGTGGTGAGCGCTCTTAGATTTACTTCTAATGAGTCGGTTCTTTTTTCTGGTTGGGAAGGCGATAACGGGGTTTCTTTTTCTTTAATTTTCATGACTACTGGCGATACATGATGGGTTTGCGAATTTCAATGGGTTTCAGCACTGGGTTTTCGTTATTTCTTGCTGCGCAATAAATAGTAGCTGCCGATTCAGCGGCTGGGTGGAATTGATCATGGGGATGCATCCGAATATGTACATTAAAGAAAGCTTTTATTCGACGTGACTTCCTTCGGGAGCGCCACCGGATGGCATAGACGCGAAATGCAGTATCTATGAAACAATCCAACCCGGTTTGAGATCGCGATGTTGTACTCTTGTAGAACGCGTAGCATAGTGGCACGGTCGCAGCCTAGTGCTGCCTGTTGTGGGTGGCCGTACACTAACTACTCCCGGTCGGCTACAGTACTACGGCAGATCTACGCTGCAGGGTTGATGGACTTGAAGATGTACTACTGCAGTTCGCAAGAGGCACTAGTGACTTGCTGGGCTTGCGTTCTTCCTACATGATGATAAGTGTCTGAATGTGCGACCGTGTGATATTTCCAGCAATGTAACGTTGGCGTTCGATGCTTCAATTCTTACCACCGCTTCCGTACACTCCTTATCATAGTGTTACAATGAAACAAAGACTACGAGATTATCTCTGATACTAGACCATTAATTTCCATGGCTAACTGCAACATACCGAGTCAAAATTGGATGACGACAGCAAGAAGAGCGGGTGATTTGTGGCATTATTTGGTTCACAACCGAATACTGCCTGCGACTTACCGGTTCGCCACAGTAAGGGGGTCAGCAGGTGTCTGGGTTAGGGGTAGGGGTATCGAGTGGGTGATTTTAGCAGCAAATCGCAGTACGACATATCAGTGTTATGGCGGTAGTTATGTGTACTAGCTTGAAGGATAATGATTCATACATCTACTGTGTAGATGAAAAACTGGTTTCTTACATATCATCGCGATGCGGACGTTTCGCGTCTATTCCAAGTAGGGTCGAGGGTAGAATGGGTATTGGGTGAGAGGCGGCCTACATTACGCGCCGCGGATGACAATCCCTGTTAAGAGCTTGAAAGGACTGGGAGGTAGTTCGCAATTCAAGGAATAACCGAACGGGTATGTGCAGCTGTCTTGCATCCTCTTTTCAGTTGGCTCTACGATGGCGTATCCCTAATATGGGAATCCTCTACAAAGGACTCCGTTGCCTTTGCATTGCTGGACCAGGGTATTTCTCCCTACATCCGAGCCCGCAGAACATAGAGCAGAGGGATTGATCCCTATCAATGGCAATCTATTCTTGACAGTATATCCGGGATATTCTCTCGAATGTTCTTCATTACGCTGAGACGCCTAACAAGCGGCCAAAGTCGCCAATTCGCCACCACAATTATCGAATCTTGTCGGGATGCGATGACCACTACATTAGTACCCCACCAGTATCCCTCTCATACAGCGCGACGATAGCCACGAAATACTTGAACGGCAGCTATGCGAATAATATGCAAAAGGATAAATACGAGTGATCAATGATGTGCTTGCTGAAGCTTCAGGCGAACAGTGATCATCATCGGAGAATATAATTGGAAGGCTCGAGGACAGGTAGGTTGACTCCGGGCCGCCGGGTCGCAGCATCCCGTTTATCTGCAGATTCGTTGACTGGCTATCCTGTATAATTGGCTTTGGTACCATGGGAGAGAGGCTATTGTAATAGTGTGGCAATGATGAGGTTGAGGATTGTTTTAAATGATGGTGTTGGATGAATTCGAGTTGTTGGAGAGTACTGAATGCTTGGTGGTCGACGCGGTCGTTATCAGAGTATCTTGTCAGTCCAGTAGGTGGTCAGTGTATGTGCCTTCGTAGAGGGAATAGGAAAAACTTCTTTATCTCGATGATACAAGAGTGTCCATTAGGATTTTGATGATACTGTATCCCTCACTCCAGTTTCTAAAATACGATCAGTAGTCTGCGTATATGGAGTAGTTCTGCACAGAAGACCATGACGTTTGCTCAGACGCATATCGGGCGGGGCGGCGGGAACAGACCTAACCCGCATCATCATAGGCAGATTGGCGATAGCACGGATAGTAGCGTGTTTGATGTATGGCAATTTCTAAAGGGATTTAAGGATGTTGGCGATAATTGCATTTCATTAGGGAAGGAAATTGCTAGTATCATTATCTCCTCCCTAAGATCAGTGAAAGCTAAATACATAGTAGGGCCGATTCATGAGTCGTAATCGCTACTATACTTACTCTTATCGGGCCAGTCGCGAAGATATATACAACCGTCGTCAGATCATTGCAGTACTACTAACGAAAGAAAAAGAGACTGATTTTTCATCTAACCTATAAGAAAAAACCACATAGATGTCACTAAGCCTGTTTGATTAGTATTGCCTCAGGCATAGAGAGGGTCTCGGAGAGACCTGACATGGCGCACATACTGAGTTGTGCCGGTCCGGGGTAAGGCACGCTGCTTATCCAACAACACGCTTCTTGGTCGACGCCCACATCGATATTCTGACCACGAGTATTACTTCTGGGGGGTAACCACATTGTCTTGGGTATACAGCACATTGGTAATTAAAGGTGCGTCTATCTGTTTTGCATTGGCAATGAGCCAAGTTAGCTGCTTGACTGTTACTCACACACTATGCCTATCTGTAGGTAAATCAGCACGTTCACTGCACATCGATATCGCGACAACTCTTGTCTTCGGAACATGCTGAGACTCCGAGTCAGGATCTGGTAATATATGTGTCCAACATACCTAACCTCCGCTCGCAATAAAGTGACGGTTCATCAGTAGCCTGGGAGATGGAATTGATCTAACTTCGATGATCGACATAGCCAGCTGGATCAACATTATTATCGTTGCCATGATTCATGGTCAAATTGCGGTGACTTAAATTTAGCCGATCGATCAAACTCTTCAGCTGAGCAGCACGAAAACTGCCCGTATCGAGATATCACCGGCTACGACCGACGCGCAATCGGATAATCCAAACCTTGAAATCGCGCTAGGCTAGTGATCGTCTACAACTAAAGTAACTTCATCTCTCAAAGCCAATGATATCGTGCTACCCAGGATATTGCATCTCCGCTGGTCCAACAAGCGATGCAGATACCCGATAATTTCTACGATAGGCCCAACAAAAGAAGTACGAGGTAGATACATGCTGCAGAGAGAGACCGGGGTCGGAGTTTCATTCGGAGCACAGACCGTGTCTGCGACCAGGCTGCCTGAAAAAGCAACAAGACCACAGCTTGAATAGATTGCAAGCGCGACTGCCCGAAGTTTGATACATCACAATCACACACGATGTGCGCGATCGGAGCCTGATCTAGCCCGTTGTCGGAATTGTCGCCATGTCCCACCTCGTAATCCATCGCACGAGAATGGAGGATCAAAAATCGGTCAATGCAACCCAATATCAGAGCAACCGATACCTGTCACAGATTCGTCCATATCGCGACCTCTAATAACCAACATGCAGGTGCCTCTGGGGCTGATGCGGTTCGTGCGTACGGTCCATGACTTCAAGATTGATTGTTCTCCGTAGTTCATCGGTCTCTTTTACCATTTATGCCAGACATTAGTAATCATTACTGAATGACTCGCATTGCGTGAGACAAGATTCATCAGCTCCTCAAAGCAAACCTTAAGGGAGTGGGTCAACGGAATGACCGACAGATCGCAACCTCGGCAGACTTCTTGATATGAATCTTGATTGAGTGATCAGCAATATGAACTTAGTCTTCAGATAATGCGGTGAATGGTGTCATCTGTGCCTGGCTAGAGTGTCAGCCTCCCATGTATAACGATGGAAAAGCCATGCAAGTTTGAAACGGTCAACTCCTTGTTAGCAAGGATTTGTTATGACTCCTGTCTCAGGAGTCAATATCAGCACTACGATAAGTAGGACACTAATTAATGTTGACCGGCAGACTAGCTGGTGCCTAGCCTTGTCAGTTGTCACACACTCAGACAGTCACACGGTCCACGAATGACCCTGGGATCAGACGACGTCGGACATATCACCCAAACGAGCGGATGCGTTGACGCTGTGCAGATGAGTGCTGCATCGCTGGAATTATGCCGTCGGAATCCCTCCGCCAGCTGGGCCTGCCCGCCTTCCATTTTAGGCAGGCAGTGGTCCACTAGGCCCGAGCAGGCTTAGTGATCCATGGATCATCTGCCTTCTAGAAGCCACACTAACCACAAAAACGCCAATATGCGACTGTGCATAAAATCTTTGCTTATCAGCTTTTTGTTTGTTTGCGCGGGCGGTGAGAACAGACAAGAGACATGAAGACAGAAATCAACCGCCACTAATCTTGGTGATCGGCATCTTTGCAGCTCCAACAATGGGCTTTTCCTGTCAACTCTGAACAACTCTTGCTCGGCAGTTTTTACCGGAACTCAATCTGACCTACACTCGGGCATAAGCCCGTAGCTATCAGTCCTCTTCGCAGCAAGCACTGTCATGTTACGTGGCCTGGAAACAGGGAGTCTAGAAGGTGTCTTTCGCGATATCGTTTATCTCTCTGGACCTCGGCAAGTTTCGCCCCTCGACAAAAGACAGCTCGAGAAACTTCCTACCCAACGGTGGTGACGCCCCACTATCGGACCTGAACTAATCGAGAAACGAAATTGCGAAAGAAATTATCCCGAATGACTCCTCCTGCCACGAGGTCCGCAGATTCGCCCATGGATCCTCAGCCGCCTGGGCTGGTTCGGTCCACCTCAGCCGAGCCCGATCACTCTCGAAGCCTTCAACACGGCCTCCACCTCGAGCTAATGCGGTGCATAAGTCCGGTCTAATATGCAGACATCGGCTGCATGGCCCCTTTTCCGTCTCGGGTGGGCTGTGCTTCCCTGGGTCGAAGGGCCTTTTGCGCACCTCGTCTCCGTCCGCCCTGATTGGAACCGGTGCTGATCCCGAGGCTAAATGCAAACGATTAGTCGTAAGTGACGCCGCT